CTGTGCGATGCTTCTGTGCGCCAAAGAATGGCAAGCCATAACTTGACAGTGGGCAGTGTGATTTATATAATGTCTGTGTCACTCGTCGGTCCTGAGGCACAAACAGGGGCGCCATGCTTGAGGATCCCAATCCGATAGGATGGATATCGCATTCTTCTTGGCGGTCAGATGCATCCCCTGGCTTGTGCAGCCATGCAAGAGGTCGACCTCCCGCTTTGGGTCGCTTCTGCTGACGTTACCAGGGTCAGATAGCCGCCGTGGAGCAACGATCTGGTGACCTGCGGGGTTGAAGGTGGCGATGGATTACACAATCGGGCCTGACGGAATGGCAGTAGCCTATGCTGATCGCATATTCTCCCGCCTTATCTAGAGCCCTGTCTCCGAGATGGAGGATATCTCCCGGCAGCATCAGGTGTGCTAGAACAGTATTGTTGCCTCTTGCCTTTCCGACTTGAGGTAGAGTCCGTACTCCTGTCCAGGCCTATCTGATATTGGGGTAAACGATCTGGCACAATGAATCATTGAGCCTACGATGGAAGCAAATGAGTGCGTCATGTTCCTTAGAACAGACGCCGTTTGCTTCGCGATCTAATCGAGGTGTGCTCTTCCCTGCTCTCCTCCCTAGTATACGCCAGCCGCGACAGCCTATCTTTCATCCGCCTTAGAACCATTGGACACAATGCATCCGGCTTCACTTGCGATACCACATCCTCGCCTTCCTCTCGCCCTTGATCTTCCTCTGCAGCACATGTATCCCCTGCAGCAACGCCTCCGCAGTCGGCGGGCATCCAGGGATATACACGTCAACCGGCACGATCCGGTCCACCCCGCGGACAACACTGTAGCTGTAGTGATAGTACCCGCCGCCGTTGGCACAGCTGCCCATCGAGATGACCCATTTCGGGTCGGGCATCTGGTCGTACAGCTGCCTGAGCGCGGGCCCCATTTTGTTGGTCACGGTGCCCGCGACGATCATGACGTCGGCCTGGCGCGGCGAGGCGCGGAAGATGATGCCCAGCCTGTCGTTGTCGTAGCGCGGCATGGAGACGTGCATCATCTCGATGCCGCAGCAGGCCAGGGCGAAGGTGAGCGGCCAGACGGAGCCGGAGCGTGCCCAGCCAGCAAGTTTGTCCATTGTGGTGCTAAGGGGAACGAGAGGCGGAACTGGTCAGCTATTGGCCTGATACGTCTCGATGGGCATGGAGTGGGAGACGGAAAGAAAGGCCTTACAGCACATATTCGGCAGGCGAGTTGTCTTGTGCTCCAAGTGGAATCTCTCGCCGCCGAGCCAAAGCTCCAGGACGAGGAATCTGCGGCGGTGTCTGGGCAGTGGCTTCTGGCTTGCGAGGAGGTGTTGTCTGCGTAAAAGATTTGGTTTGGCTGTGTGAAGTCGAGGTTGACTGCCGAGTCTTGGCCCGCCCGATGAGGCTGTTGTAGCGGACAAAGTGGCGTGCTGCGTGGTGGAATTAGCTGAATGAAAACGCTGAGAAGGTAGCTGTGAATTACTGTGCTGGGCACAACACGTACCTGGCAAGTTGCAGAGCTTGGGCTTGAGCATCTTGTTCTCCTGATGGCTTCTGCTTCGGTCTCTTTGGTATGACGGAGTGCAAATAGCGCCGGATGGTCGGTCTGGAATGTACCCGAAGAATAGAAGGATATATCAAGAGAAGAGGAAGATGGCTAACGAGACATTGATTCTGGGAGATGGCCATCAGGACCGTCTCTTCTCTGACCCCTAGCCCAGACACGACTGGCCGAAGATGCCAAACATTGCCTGCCATGACGATTGGCCAATCACAGCATGTGCAACCACTGGCAGGGCTGGGTTTTGTGGCGCTTTGCGTCGTCGGACAAAACCCACCTGCGCGAGGTCCCGACAACCCACCTCGTCAGCTCTCATCACCCCCAGCTAATCGTCCACCGCCCATGCCGACTGACGTAGATCCAGCTATTGTACTGGCCTGCGCCGACTGACCCTGCCGCGATGGCACTCGAGTGCCCTGTCTGCGGCAAGACATACCAGCGGAGCACTCATCTCCGCCGCCACGAGGCCACTCGTCAGTCTTCCCCCCCAGTCCTTTCATCGGTAGACCACTGCGCAGGGAAGCTCACCCTTGCACAGACCACACTTCCGGCCAGTTTGCCTGTCCTTACTGCCAGAAGTCTTTTGCTAGACGGTACGTACCTCACTTCTCTGGCTGGACAGTAAGGTCCTGACTCGCAGATCAACTCGCTGGACGAAGTGATGTCTGCCGCAAGCATGCTGTGGCTTGCCAGTGCCGCCCACCCGACACTAAGGACAATATTGTCCCTTTAGCAAAGAGAGGCCAGAAGCCTAGAGCGTGCACCTTGTGCTTCCAGAGCAAGCTGGCATGCGATCTTAACCACCCTTGCAAGCGCTGCAAAGAGCGCCAGTTGTCCTGCATCTACGACCGCCTGCCGGCTGAGGACATACTGAGGGCATCGCCAGAACACTCGCAGTCAGGTGCCAGTCCAGACATCGGGACCGATAACAAGGCTTCTATAACATTCATTCTAGACATGATACATCCTTCTGCCGACACTCTGATGGCCGTCTTCAACGAGGAGATGGATGCAGAGCCGGAGCCCGACTTCAGCACCACGCACTCCGGGGTGGATATACCAAGCGACCAGATGGACTACATCTCGGACTTTTTTCTGGGCAGCGATGAGTTCATGTTCAACTCTGTTGACGGCGACGAACTTTTTGACAAGGACATACCAATCTCAAGGTCCGACAGGAGCACTCCAGCCTTCGATCACAACCTGGAGTGCATCAGGTCAGGACTCCGTGAGGCATTTGATCGCAAATCTACCCATACTTGCTTGACATCTTTCGGTGGTCCAAGTGGTGCTGGCAAGTCCGTTTTCGACGAGACCTCGGTCAACATCCTCCTCAAGCCCAACCACGTCCGGACCCTCGTGGCTACCTACTTCCGCACCACGGTACCCGACTTCCCCGTCACGCACGAGGCGAGCTTCAGTTTCGAGGACTCGTGCCCGGAGCTCATCCTCGCCGTCATGATGAGCGGCTCCCTGCGCTGCGCGCCGCACGACTACGTCCTCGCCGCACGGAAGCAGATGAGGCTGAGTGTCGACTTCATATTCTGCCAGATGCAAAGTCTGATATATAAGCTGATCATCAGTAGGGCTGACGCATCACCGCCAGCTCCTCTACCACGCAGCGTCGTGGACACAATCGCCGCCGCACTCATTGCAAACAGCGCGATGGCGACAGTGAACGATGCCGATGTCGAGTATCTTCAGACCGGGCTGCCACCAGAGAGGCTACTCCAGTTGAGCACGGTGGTTCGAGGGTGTGGTCTGATGCAGACTCGTAGGTCTGTGCCGTTGGGTGTAGAGACGGATTGGAAGACGTTCATCTACGAGGAGTCGTGCATACGGTGCGTTTTGTCAAGGCAACTATCTCTCTCTTGTGACCTTCGGACCCCCACACTCTCTAATCAAGATCTCAACGTGATCGCTGACATGTGGCCCGCCAGTATCGCCAACTGGACCGCCATGAATGCTTGGCTTCAGGCTGGCTGTCTCAATGCGCAGCCAAGCGTCGGCGCCTCGGAACTCCAAGCTGATCTGCCTGCTCCTCTTGAACTGTGGCAAGCTCGTAACGCGAGCGAATTCAAAAGTTTGCTGCAGGCCACCAAAAGCCGGAACGAGTCGAGGAGTCACGCGCTTCCCTCCAAACTGCAGTCTACATCGCTGCCTAGTTGGACAACAGCGGCGTTGCCAAGGTCGATCGGACATGCTATCGAGCTGCTCATGAGTTCGGAGGCGCATTGGCGATCGGTGTCTGATGGCTTCTCAACCAAGATTAGCAGAGTTGATCTGATCATTGCGATCATTGGTATGTTTCCTGCTTTGACCCCTGGTTTATCCAAGATCTTGGCTTCATGAATATCTTGTTGATTGATTTGCTAGGCCTACAGTCCGTCATAATCTCAGCTCGTCTCAGCTCGACACTCCTGCAGACCGCGCCGTCCCTTCGCAGGGCGATAGCGAGGTGGCGCAAGCTATGGGACAGCATCGAGCCATCTCACAACACACACGCAAGCATGGCACCGACGAGCGCATCTTCGCTTCAGATGCCCAGCAACATCTCCGCTACAAGACCGATGAGCACCACGGTCTCACCTCCCTCACCACGCGACCCTAGGGTGGTCAGCCATTCGCAGATCTCCTGCCAGTCTTCTCCAGCGCAGCAGGACGTCCCATATCCGAACCATGGGCCAGCACAGCAGTCGCGACCTCCATTGCGTGGCCTGCACCGGCACGCAGTCGGTCTGGCCTGGCTCGCGGCGTGCCAGCTCGATCCGCGGATCTGGCACGAGCGCCGCTTCACGGAGCTGCCGTACTTCCGCAATGTCGGCTGCGCGAGCATGGCGGAACTGCACGAGTTCGTGGGGGCTTGTCGGACTCTGCAGCAGTCCTAAATGTTCATAGTGGAAAGACGATCAGCGAATTTGCTGAGAGCGATCTGTGAGACGGAAGAGATCTCGGAAGTCATAAGAGAGAATACCCTCAAGGCGACGGAAGGGAGATGTAGTCTACGCACGTCATTTTTTACGTCTAATGCAACCATGATCGTTGGTGATTCCCAAGCGCGACTATGGGTTGGCCTGCAGTCAACAACAGGCCAGACCAGTGGTCGGATCAACAATCCCAGAAAAGGGCGTGTGCAGGCTGCGCCTGCCGCCATTCTTGACCATCATCTCATGCCTTTGCCGAGTGCCGGTCGCCCAGTTTGTTGTCACGCATCGTACTATGCCCTACTGGTTTGCGGCTACTACTAGAACCTCGTGTTTTGGGATCAACAACAGCTATCTGACCATCACACGAAGTCTTATCCCCTGCCCTGCACTCTCAAATGGGTCCTCCGTGGCTCTCAACGCCCAATGGGGCGGCATGTGATCATGGCGAGACGTAAGACAATGTTCCTTCACCGCCTTTGCAAAATCACAGGGCTAATAGCTCATTTGGTAGAGCGTTCGCTTTGCACCCATGACTACTCCGGGGCTCTTTGTCCTGGAGATGTTCGAGTCCATCTGCGAAAGGTACAGGGTTCGACTCCCTGTTAGTCCATACCGTTTTGTCTCGCGGGTACCAATTTTTGCCTACTGCGGTGACCGTGCTACACATATAAATGTGACAGGGTGCTGCTATCGCTCCTGGTTGGTGTTTATACCTTGTAAAGACCGCTCCTGCTTGGTAGTAGGACTTGAGAGCGATCAACTCAGTCAACCGAGGAGGTTGCCTTCTGAGAGGCCTTCAAGTCTTAGCTAGTTTCAGTTCAGGACTCGGTGGCGAACTCCAAGGCTGCCCTAGCTCTCTGGTGTGGTGATCTATCGTAGTTACATGTTGAGGCAACGTGGTGCGGCTCAGGAGGGAGATGTGCGCAAATTACTCTTGCCCACGGCATACACTCCACCCAAGAAGTCATGGAAGAGCACGTTCTTCGCCAGTTTGGGGTAAATGTCCTTGTCGAATGTGTAGCGTGGCCTTCCACGTTTCGTCCTGCAAACCTGCACATTGCCACAGCCAGGCTGAAGGATTCGCTCCCCTGATCTTTCCCGTGCAGAGATGCTAAGAAGCGGCCTCTTTGCATCCCCATCGCATGTCCGACCCTCACTTTATACATACCCTGGTTCATATCGAAGAGGCAGCTGCTGCGTCGAGATTGACGCGCCCAATCAGGTCGCGCCCTTACCGAAGTGCAGCGAGCGAGCATCTACACAGGGATGGGCGGGAGACCCCATCAAGACCTGGCATTATGGAAATCATCTTGAACTTTGGCCAGGAAGCACAGCTCGCAGCGCGACCACCGGCATCATAAGGCCCATGTTCATCGTGGCCTACGATTCTCCTCGTCTGCTCCGTTCGTCAATCGATTTAACCTTTGAATGCCTAGAGTAAGGAAGAAATCCAGCGTCCTGTTCTGCAGGTTCTCTGCATGCGTTGTTCACAATCCAATTTTCCCGGCCTCGGCGCATCTCTCAAGTGAGCCAGGGTTGACCAAAGCTGGAAGCGACCGAATCAAAGTGCACGGGCTAAACAGTGCAAAGAATCCTGCATCGACGCGAGACGGCGTGGATTACGGTTTCGCTAGAGCTGAGCTGACATGCGTCACGCCCCGTCCCTGGCAGGTCTATAAAGATTCTATGAGATGATGCACCTTGACCTTGGCATCTACCATTGTGTAGATATCCGGGGTGGAAGGATCCGAATGCTGGGCATGGCTTAAGCACTCGGTCCCCTAATGTCACCCTATCTGTTGAGAACGACGAGTTCTTTATGCTGATTGGCTGTTATCCGGTGCATTGCGGGATACTTCCCGGGAAAGACTTCACAACTCGCCCTTCTTGCGGAAGCTGGGGACTTTTGACGCGCTGACAGAGGAACATCTCAGTGAGATCTAGCATAGGACCCCGCTGTGGCGGTGATCCTTCGATGCAAGGCCCTTCTTCTCGGCTCTCGTCGCAAAGTCTCGAGCTCAGTTGCGAGCTCGCTTACAAGTTCTTCAGGGTCAACGGTCAAGTATAAGAGGCAGCAAGCCACCAACTTTTCAACTGGTAGTTCTTCGGATTAGCACAGCTCCTTACACGATCAAGTGAATCCGGAACAAGCTCCCAAGTCACCATTCTCTGCTCGACCCTCCTCGGACAAGGCTCAAGTAAGTCGAGCACTCTTCTCCATCGAGTATTCCGCGGTTCGAGACATGTACTGACTCAAAGCAGTCCACCAGTCGGCCATCATGCATGTCTCCCTTCTCGCCCTCGCCGTTCTGGCCTTCTGCAACGCGGCATCCGCCGTCGAGATCTCGATGACCATCACCACCGGTGGCTCGATCGCCCCGGTCGTCTTCACGTCCGTGACGGGCGATGCCGGCGACCACCACCCGTTCGGCTACTTCGTGGACGGGTGCAAGGTCAGAGACAACATCAGGGAGGTCTGCATCGACAGTTCACGGAGGCGCGCCCACGTCATCTGGACCAACGGCGTGCGGCAGTGTCTGAACCTGACGCGCCGGGACCAGGTTCAGGACGGGAGGAACCACTACGAGTACATAACCTACACGGGAGTGGGCTGCTCGTGGTAAGCTGAACTAGGACGCCGTAGGCGGGCACCAATGGATTTTTCAACTTTGCATCTTGGCCTCCGGCGCGGAGGTCTTGTTACGGGTTCTTCAGAGCAAAAGACACGATAGTCAAACAATTACTACACAAGAAGCTAGTTTTAAGCTAGACAATTTCCTTCCCCAATCCGTACCGGGGACGAATGCAGTTGCAAGTATTTGACTGTGGATGCTCAGAGGCCTAGTGGAGTAACACTTTACAATCTGAAATGCTATCCCGCCCAGGTCAGTACTCTGCCATGAACAAAAACACGAACTTTCAGAAACTTCAAAGATTGTCAATGCACAAGCGGCTAGGCCTCCACAGAGGATGGCTCATGATCGAAGTTTTTCAGCCAGCGTGGAACTAAGAGGGAGTCAGGGGGCCGCGAGGCAACGCCGTAACAGCTAGACACCAGAGATGCTTCAGGTCAAGACTCGAGTTATCAAAATAATTCGAGGGAATAACGGAGAGGCAGATCAATCCGGCCCAGCTATTCGAGCCCCAAAGTCTTCACGGGGACCAACGAGTCCAGGCTGATTTCATTCTGTCGTCTTAAGCCACCGGAGGGAGGGGCGGGGCAACCGGCGATGCCCGTATAGGGATCGTCCCTACAGCATGCGCTTTAGTCAAAAGGGTCGAAGATGGGGCAAATTGCTTATTCCATTGGTGGTATGGCAAGCCCCAAATTTCCCCTGTTGTCCCATACAACACGTTGCTTGTACCTGTCTGTTGGCATATATCCCATGCTCAACCAAAAGAAAACGACTCCTCCAACTGGTGCGATATTGATGGCATGCCCTGCCAAACGAGGGTTACAATGACGAGATATCGCCGCACCTATCTGCCTCTGCACTTCCGACAGTTCTTGCTCTTCGTTACGGCCTACCTCCTCAGGTACCGGGACGTACAGGCGAGAGGTTTACCGGCACGCTATTGAGTACGAGAGTATACAGAGATCCTCGGCAAAGCGGTCGAGCACGTGCCAGTTCATTTGGCGCATGTCCAATGCGAGGCTCGCGACTAGCTGCTTAACCACGGGCAAATCTTTAGAGGTTGTTGTGCCGGGTTGTGAGTTTCGCAGCCATCCTAAGGAGTGTCGGGCCTAGAAGTAGGCAATGAGAATGCGTGCTTCAGCCAATAGACATCTCAGAGACCGTGACCTGTCGACAGCGGCCGCAGCAACCTGCGGTGGACGCCGGATGACGATGTAACATGCTTAATTTCGACGGCACGCGCACGCCTTGCGTGATATGGCAGGATTACCAAGCAGACCGGCGCACCTTGCAGCGTGGCGCAGAGCCTCGAGGCGAGGTCGAGGCAGCATGAGGCAAGCCTGCCTGTCGCGTGTGCAGCTGGTACATTGCCATTACTTGTGGGGGAAGGCCTGCTCTTCCAGCACATCGCGTGGGCTCCGTTGCTTGCGGATTGATCTGCGCTGGCTACTATGCGGGGGGCGGATCAGTACTACCACAGCCAGGCACAAACATGTCTGGGGTCACCGTGCCCGCCGGCACCGGACGGTCTCGACCTGCCGTATACAAGGTCATTTCCCGCTCGCGACTCGTGAAACACACGCCAGATACCAAGCACTTCCCCGAAATGGAACGGATGTGCCGTGGGCGAGGGTCCATTGTGCTGCTGCCAAGCCCGAGGCTCAGCACTGATCAGGAAGCTGAGCTGGACCCTTGCATAGTCGCGTGCCCAGCGAGCCGCTGAATGGCCAGGGCCCTGTGTTTAGATGGCCGGCAGGGACCCAATGCAAGGCACAACCCTGGGCATGGCTTGGGCAGCGCCAAGTCGAATCGAGAAGGTCCCCCTCCGACGCGCTATAGCGCCCATGGGTGACCACTGTCAATAGAAGCAGCTGTTATTATGACTCGAATCAACGCCGGGAGATCGTCACGAGTATATAGCCAGGTACCTCGCTGGGAAACAGGTCATACTCTTGTCTTGTTGTCATCAGCAGTCGCATCATTCACTTTGCACTACTCTGACAAGCTCCTCCTCCTCCTCCTCCTCCGCAAGCGTCCAGCAGCAGAAGCCACCTTCAAGATGCGTTCCTCCGTGCTCCTCGGCCTCCTGCCGCTGGCCATGGCCGCTCCTCTCGAAGACACGCGGGCCCCTCTGCACGTGCCCCGCGGTGCGACTGGCAACAAGTACATTATCAAGATGAAGCCGGGCGCGCCCAACTCCATGGGCATCCAGGCCGTCAAGCCCGAGGCCGATATCGAGTTCCCCAACCTGGGAGCATTCGCGGCCACCCTGGACGACGAGGACGTCGAGCAGCTGCGGCTCAACCCCCAGGTCGCGTTCCTCGAGAAGGAAGGCAAGATGTCCATCGCCGCCCCGGTCAGCCAGACTGGCGCGACGTGGGGCATCGCCCGTCTCTCGAGCACCAACAGGGGCGCGACTACGTACACCTACGACAGCACTGCCGGTGCTGGTGCTTGCGTCTATGTCATTGACACTGGCGTTGAAGTCGGACACCCTGTATGAGCCCCTCCGCCCCGAGACTTATCAAGGCGTTATAACGTACCAGGTCCGGCTAATTCATTTTATTGCTTGACTGATAGGAGTTTGAGGGCCGCGCCTCCCTTGTCGCCAACACGATTGACAACGACCCGAAGGACGTCCACGGCCACGGAACCCACGTCTCCGGCACTATTGCCTCCAAGACCTATGGTGTTGCCAAGAAGGCCACCATCTTTGGTGTCAAGGTCTTTGACGCCAAGGGTGAAAGTGACAAGTAAGTCCGCCCCCACGTTGTGAAACTGCTTTCCTGCTTTACAACAAATCGTTATCTCGTCTGGGCCCAAAGGCGTCACAACAACAAACATTCATGACTGACGCACGTCTTCGCAACTATCTAGCTCCGTCATCATTGCCGCAATGGACTTTGTCCTTGGCAACTACAAGTCCAAGGCCGCGCAGTGCCCCAAGGGCTTCGTCGTCAACATGTCCCTGGGC